GAGCTGCGGGAGCTGAGGAGCTGCGCGCTGGTCTGTAAGCTGTGGCACCGCGTCCTGCACGGCGACGAGAACAGCGAGGTGTGGCGCAGCTTGGCAGCCCGCTGCCTGGCGGAGGAGGCCCTGCGCACTGACATCCTCTGCAACGTGCCCACCTACAAGGGCAAGGTGAGCCCCGCAGTTCCCCCTGCCCCTCGGGGACACCCCTCTGTAGCTGCACGGCAACCCCCCAGCCGCTCGGCCTGGCCGTCGTTGGAAACCAAGGAGGGACCTGAAGAAACATGACAGAATTTTATCTTCTCTCCTGTCCCTCCTTCTTCTTCTCCGCCAGGTCCGTGCCTTCCACCACGCTTTCAGCACCAATGACTGCTCGCGGAACGTCTACATCAAGAAGAATGGCTTCACGCTGCACCGCAACCCCATTGCCCAGAGCACGGATGGGGCGCGGACCAAGATCGGCTTCAGCGAGGGCCGCCATGCCTGGGAGGGGTGGGGGGAGGGTCATCGGCATCGCCACGAAGCGGGCTGCCATGCAGTGCCAGGGTTATGTGGCCCTGCTGGGGAGTGACGACCAGAGTTGGGGCTGGAACCTGGTGGACAATAACTTGCTGCATAATGGAGAGGTGAACGGCAGTTTCCCCCAGTGCAATAACGCGCCCAAATACCAGGTGAGTGGGACTTGGCGCGGGCTGGAAGCTCCATCGTGTTTGACGGCAGCCGGCTGTCAAGAACTTCCTCCCTCGCATGTCCTGGCTGTCTGCTGAATTGGTCCTAAATGCCCACCTAAGGGTGTCTCTGCCTTCCCTGCAGAAGGCAAATGACTCTGCCTTGTGAGGCCTTTCCCCCTTCATTTACCGCTTCCTCAGGCTACACCTGTGTGTGGTGGTCAACAGACCTGACCCTCAGTTGTTTCCACATTTCTGTCTCAAATACTGAGTGCGAAGCATGTACCGTGGGTGTCTGCTTAGAAACCATGTTGCATTTTGAAATAAAAGCTGAAAAGGCTGTTGTAGCCTTCTGAAGTAACGACTTGCCCCAGAGCAAGTCTGTGGCCTTTGTTGTATGGCAGTGTGAGCTGAGGTTAGTGCTTGGGGAAGAGTCTTCCTGCAAAAACCTGCAGCGGTGCTAAATGCTGCTTGTTTGCTTGCTGACAGCGTTCCCGTAGGTGACATCCCTTGGCTGGCATTCTGGGTTGTGATGTTCAGATAATTTCAGGCTATTAAAGAGCAAGTGCCATTCCACCTTTTTGTCCCTACAGAAGTGTTTATCTTTGTTCTTCTGGCTGCTCACACAGCTACGTTTTGACTGCTGGCTTTCCTCACGTTGCAACTCAAGCTGTATGCATTATAATTTCCATCTCATAACGCTGTGGCTCTGTACAAGTACTGGCTTATGTTTCAATTGGGGGTGAGGGTCTGTGTAGTAACTTGCACCTGCTGTTCCTAAATTTCATGTAAAAGTTCACCGCCAAGCACTTAATTCTGTCTGAAGGTTATACCTGCTGCTTTTGGGAATAATACCTAAAATGAGTGTAATCAAAGAGTTTTAGATTTTTTTCCATCCACATGTTCCCTAGCATGGAAATTGAGTTGGCGCTTGCCAGGCATGACCCGTTGTGGTCGCGTTCTGCTGTCCTTGTCTAGGCCTTTCTGCAGCAACAGGGTGAGGAAAGGTTTGGAAGCTGAGTCCCCAGCTCGTACGGGGACTCAACGGTGAAGGCAGTTGCTGCTTTCTCTGTAGAAATTGGTGAGAGCTCAAATCTGTGATCCTTTAGAGTATTGTGTGTTTATTAACACATGTACAGTGGTCTGCTCACAGGAAACATATCTGAAGGAAACACATGGGTGTGTTAGTGTTGGTTAGAAGAAAAATGTGTTGGCTGGAAGAAATCCCCAGCTTTGGGGCTGGCTAGTGAAGAATCAGAAGTTTGTGCAGTGTCCTGCTGCGCTTGCTTCTGGTGTCTGGGACTTGTATTTATGTCTAAAATAACATGTTCTAGACAAGTGCCGGGAGCGCTGTGCATGCTTAGATCTGAGTCTCTTGCTGTGTTCAGTGTTGGTTTCACTCGTGTGTGTGTGTATATATCTTTATATATATATATATATATATGTTCTCAAGCTTATTTTGCCTAAGCTTTGAACTGGAATTTCCTTCTGCCTTGGTGAGGGAATATTTCTGTCAGTGACAGCACCTGTGTAGTAGTGTGCTGTGGGATATTTTGTACATGGCACTTACCATTCCAAAACAAGTTCATTGTCTTTAAAATTGCTCTTTACAGAGCAGTTACAGCTCAGCAATAGCAACAGCTAAATACGGAATTCAGGTAACATGGAGGCCGTTACAAAGTTCAAAACTGCAGTATTCTGAAGCATGTGGTATGCAGTATGCTCACTCTCGGTGCGCTTGCAAGGTTCACGTGAGAAGGGTTATGTTTATTATCGTGTAGGTGGTTAGATGCAGGCTGCCCACTGGAAGCGAGCAGCAGAGGTGCTTGGGATCCTAGTGCATTGGAGCGAAATTGAGAAATTCCTATCATAAAAGCAATGCAATCACGAGAAACAGGAAAGCCTTGCTTTAAAATTACCTGCTGCATTATACATGGCCTATGCTTTATTTTTGTGCCTCCATTTGAATATGCTGACCCTTTCTATGTGTTGTGTTTTTTTTTTTTTATTCCCCCTTCCTGTCTCTGTTTCCAGATAGGTGAAAGGATTCGAGTTATCCTGGACATGGAAGACAAAACATTAGCATTTGAGAGGGGCTATGAGTTCTTGGGAGTTGCCTTCAGAGGACTGCCAAAAGTTTGCCTGTATCCAGCGGTGTCTGCTGTGTATGGTAACACAGAAGTGACTTTGGTCTACCTGGGAAAACCTTTGGATGGATGACGTGGATTGTTTCGTTGGGACATCGAGATGTGGATAGTTGGGAGAAGAAATCTGCATGTTGGTTAGAGGGAAACGTATATTCGAGGAAAAACAAAAAAAGTGTGGGTGTGTGTCCAAGAACCACCGAGGGGATCACATGGAGTTTTGAGATGGAGGACCAGCCATACTTCAGGAGTTGTGTTATATTTCCTCTTTCTACCAGGCCAGAAAAATCCTCAGGGTTGCAGTTGGTTGAGTGGGAAGCTGACACATGCATGTTGCAACAGATTTCATTGCTAAGATGGCAGTGTGTGACCTCAAATATTTAAGAAAGGATTTGATACAAAACTGCTTGAGGAAATTAGCCTGAGATTTGTAAGTAGCGCGTTTTGTGAAAGACTCCCATTTAAAAACTGCTTGTTCCTTCCCTTCCTTCCTTTGGGCCAACGTGGGTACCGGAGGAGACCGAGCCTGGTTGGGTTTTATTTACAATTTACAATTTTTAACATACTGAGAAGCATGGTCTGTCTGGACTGCCCTTCTCTAGTATAATGATACAAAATGTGTGCAGCTATTTTTAAGTGTATTTTAAAGGTTGTATATATAGAACACGTTGAAAAGAACAGTTAAAAGAAAGGGTTTGCTTTATTCTAACTGGGACATAGTTTCTTAAAGGGAACCCCCCCACACACTACGTGGCATCAGAAAATATACGTCAGACAGGTATATAACATCCATGTAAGTGTACTTCTTCTTTTGTATTGAATAGCATTTTGGGATGCTCTTGTGCAGTACGGTGCTACATTGGGTCATTTTCTGTGAAAGTTTCCATAGCTTTAGCAAAAGTTTTGTTCTCTGTAGAAAACACAAAACATTTTCCCCGTGAGTTTCCTTTCGCCATAATTTGTGATCCCCTTTAGGAAGGGAGGCCACAACACAGGGGTGAGCTTGTCTTCCTTTCAACGTCAAAGATACTAACTTTTAAAAGCATTCTTGCGCTTTCTATTCACCATTGCGAAATGTTTCAAAATAATGGGGAAGGAGCATTCAGTTTCTGAATCCAGACCTTGTTTTTAGCTTAAATGGCTTTATAAGGCTTTCAGGCTTGGCTGAACCTTTCTTTAATTAAATAAAATCCCCCAGTACCCAAGTATTCACCTGCCTGTTTTTCAGTCAGGACGAGTAAAACTCTCACCAACCTTTTGATGGGGGTTCTGGATCAGGTTCAATATCTGGGCTTTTCACTTGCACTGGTTTTCTAAAGACCATGTAGAAACCTCTCTGGTGTGTCGGTGTGCTGGCATGGGCAGGCTGGGGAGGCTGTGAAGCGGAGGGGTGTAGTAAGGAGGGACTTTCTGCTGAAACCGCTTTCCTCTGAGGTTGAAAGGTCTGTAGGGAGCCCCAGAAAGGCTTCTTTTAACAGGCCATTAAAATCTGTAAGCCCTGCAGCTAGCTCTTGACTCTTGTTTCTTGTTGGTTGGTGTTTCCCAGAGCTGTCTGAACTGCTTCAGAGAGGAAGAAGGAAATACTTATGAAACTTCTTTTTGCTTTATTTGCTCTAGAGAATGTGAATTGCTTAATTCTGGCAATTTTCTGAGCATGGGAGAGAGAGGAATTCCTCTTAGGCTGTTGCTCATTTCTTTCCCCCGTTACTCGAGTAGTGCGAGGAGAGCGGTGCAAGCAGGTGAGTGAGGCTCCTAGTCTGCTGCTGGCGAGCTGTCCTTGAACTACTCTTTACCTCGTAGATAACAAAGTTCTGCACTTGAATGGAGCGTGTATGTCATTACCATTTAAAAGGATTTTAAAGTATTTATTTGGTTTGCCTGTTGTTTATTGCTTAAAGGCAATATCGAGGTCGGTTCCTCTTGGCGGTGTTAAACAAAATATGCAGTGAGAAATGAAGATGTTTTAAGTGGTGCGGAGAACATCCAAATAAATGATGTGGGATGGGCATACGAGTACCTTTTGGGAAAAAATCTGTTACAAGCATTGATTGTACTAGACTGTAAAGTATGTATCTGCATAGCAGAACCATGGGGCATGAAGGAGGGAAAAAAAGGAAGGAAAACCCTGTCCAATTTCAGAAAATAACATTGTCCCCGAGATGAATGTATTCTCAGTGCAGTCCTGAAAGATGTGACCTCTGTGCTTGTTGATGAATCCAATTAGATGCAAGTAAACCCTGAGAACTTCCGAGGAGTTTTATTCACAAATTAAGATTGATTTCCATTCTTCAGACTGCATCTTACCCTATAAATAATTTCCCTCTAAATTAGAAGTGCTGAAAGTTGAACATTCCTTAAGGGTGGGTTTGGGGGGGACTCACTTATGTAAGATTATAACTTATTCCTGGAGACCAGTGCTGGCTGTACAAAATATTAAAATAAACTCTGCTACAATTCAGAAGGATATATTGGTGTGGATTGTTGTAATGACATCCGTGGTGTGGTGATAGGAAAAATGGGGCACCAAGAAGATGGAGGCGTTGGGACTGTGTGGTTCGCTGTGTGACTGCTTGAGAAGAGAGAAACTGATGAGTGGTTAATGAGGACTTGCAAACTCGGTAGTCCAATAGCCGTGCTTGGGAAATTGCATCCTCCAAAATGGGGACACTCACATGTGACAGTGTGGGAAAAGGCTTTCCTGATGGCTGGAGGTCTCTTGATTTGAATTGAGATGTTGTGCTCGCTGCTGTGGCTGCTCTGCCCTGCTCCTGTACTGAGGTGCCTCCTTCCCAGGTCAGCTTCTCGGCTTCTCTCCGTTTCCTTAGCTTTCCATGTGAAGTTCAATATTTCGTGGTGCTTTTAGGAAGAAGTAGGTGATTTTAGGAAGAAGTAGTAGACTGTGTTGTGGTTGTGAGCTCCGAGGCACTTTCCAAACTCTCTGCATCAAGAATTTGCTTTTAAGCGGTGAACTTTTGGCTCACATCTCTGCGAGCTTCTTCAGGAGCAAAGAGGTTTGATGCTGGCTCGCCAAAAATGTAGAATCACTTCTTCTAGCCTGAGGTCCTTCAGTCAGCTACACAGCTGTTTGAAGTATTTTCCCTACCCCAACTAGCGATTTAACTGCTGGTCATGAGGAACATTAACTGTTCATAGCTCCCATAACAGAAATCAGTCCGATTCACAGGTCTTGGCTTCGGAATTCCACAGGATGTCCAGAATTTTTTTATAAGTGAGCATTTTTTCTATCATTTGAATGAATAAAACTCAGAATTTCTAGTGGTTTAAGTGTGCGGTGAAATGTGTTGGGAGCTTAAGAGGTAATCGTCTGATCTGGTCATGTTTCTGTGTCTGAGGAAGTGAAGAGCTCGATGTGGCCATTTATTTTGGGACAGAATCTGTTCTTGGCTTCAGTGGTGGCTCGTTGTGTTGGCCTGAAGTCAGATGCGTGACTTCTTTTTCTGTAAGAGGACAGAGGTGTTGCTGGAACGAACTAATAAATCAAGATGGCATGGGAAACTCACCCTGGTAGGGATATTTTCTTGAAAATGTTTTTTTCCCCCACTCAAAATGCAGTGCTGAGCGTGCATTTTTGAGAGTTCCGAGTGTGCCTTCTGCTAGCAAACACCATTTGGTTTTGTTACATTTGGCCATGTTTCAGGTGACAAAACTAGCCAGGAGCAGATGGCCTTGATTCTGTGGGCTGAACCTCTGCTGCCTCAGGTGTGGACAGATTCTTCTCTGCCTGCCTCTGAATCCGATAGCAAGCTGGAACATACTAGCTTTTCTCTCCGCTTACCGATGTTCTACATTTTTAAATTTGCTTAACATGCAGGTGTGTCTTCCAGATGGCTGTCTCTTTTTGTTTTTTTTTTTTTTCCCCTCTTCCATTTTCACTGGGATGATGACAGCGGTGATGAATTAAAATACCGCTCAGCCCGATCGCATTTTGATCGTACAAAACTTATTTTCTCTAAGTATTTGAGAGGTAACCAGCTGTCAGTGATTCCTGTATTTCCATACCAATACTTCAGTTCTAGGTAAATCATTACATTTTATAAATAGCTCTGGGCACTGGCAGGAACGCAGCTATTAGTGCTATATGCGCTGCCATTCTGGAACAGTGCCGGTTCTTGCACAATACAGATAATTTGGTGAAATCTGTAGCCAGCAAACGACATTATTGAAATCTGTTCTAGGATCCTTTCTACATTTACAAACCAGGTTATTAAATGGTTAGGAGTGTGATGTGTTTGATTTCTGTACGTGACATATTCCACCTCTCACTGAGGTGTCATTCGGTTGAAAGGAAAATTAATTAAGCGGTAAATGACTGCAGAAAGCTTTTCCTGCAGTGATCCTGAACCTACTAATTTATACTTTAAGCAACTTTTTGCACGCTGCAGGATGACGCTGTACATGTTGTGTGACTTCCGAACGAATTCTCACACCTCCCACAAGAGGGCAAAGTTAACAGTGCTGTGGGAGCCTAGACTTTGAATTTCCTAAGTGTTGTGCAAAACAACTGTTTAATGTAGAACCTTCTCCGTGAGCATTTGCTTCCTGGCCTCTTAAAAAAACCAAACCAACAAACCTCAACAAAACAGGTGATCGTGGAGAAGTGGATAACAGACGTGGAATTTTTTAAATATACTTCTTCATTTAACCCTTGATCCTGAAATTAGGCTAAGCAAATCTTTGCAGTTCAGAAAATTATTTTCAGTGACAGTGAACTGAGCTGAGATGCTGAGATCACCTTAAAAGACCGAAAGGGATTTGAGGCGCTCAAACAAAATGTCACCGTTGCCATTGAATGGGAGGACGGACCCATAGTCAGTCACTTACTGGTCTACTTTTTGCCAGACTTGATTTTCTTCTTCAGGGGCATTTGTGATCAGGAAATACTGGTATCATGAAAAGATGTTTAAAAAAATTGGATATATTCCAGTGCAGTTGAGGAAAAAACCCCAAAATCATTGAAAAGGGATTTAAAAATAAAACTCATTGTGTATTGCAAATGTTGTTTATTCTTCTGCAGTTTTACAAGCTCAACCAGCAAGGGTGTCATCTTCCTTCCATGCCCACACTTGCAGATTTGTTGTGAGCTAGCTGGAGTTGTTTCATGTTTGCTTGTTTTATTTTGTGTTTTTAATCCATATTGTTCTACCTGTGTTAAAAGCTATACGTTTACCTGCAGGCAGTGTTTGAATGGGGAAAAGTATGAAGGTATAACCTTGCCTATTCTTGTCTTTTGTGTAGTGTCTGATCTTCTTTGTGGGCTCCCAGTTTCTGCAGCTAAACTTTTGGTAGTTTTATCCAGAAAGAGCAGGAGCGTTACCATGCATGTAAATGAGTGACCATCCTGGGACATGTCACCTTTATATATCTATATAGTGTGTTTATGTATCTATATATAGTGTTTTACTGCTCAGGATGGGTGCTTATGTCCACAAATATTTTGCTGTATGTTTTGCAAAGTGATTTTTTTGTTTGTTTAAATTTTATTGTCCTTTCTTGAACTTCTGATTTCAGGCTGTGAATG